TTTTTTTCCTACCCAGTTAGTTAATTTGTGAAAGGAAAAGAACTATTTTCAGAAACTGAAAAGGGAGGGTTCAAGTAAGTCTCCTGTTTTATGAATTAATTGCTGAATATCCCTTCAGTTCAGAAAGAGCAATTTATTTTCCTCTGACTATTTCCAAGAGGAAAATTAACTCCTGGGAAGGAAGCTGTGGAGAAACAATGGGACACACGGAATACATTAATCTAAATGTGAGTGCATAAATGGCATAAAACGTGTTCTGGAAGATATCCTTTGTATAGAAGTAACCTGCACTTGCTAGCAGAAAGCTGCATCCTGTTGATGTCAACCAACTGTAAGGAAATACTGTTAGATTCTTAAAATAGGATTAAAATAGGCTGTATGGCTTCCATGAAAGTGTATCTTCCTTGACTTGCTGAGACTGACCACTTCATGAAGAATCCAGTGAAAATCCTTGCCTCTCTCCAAGAAGCTCAGCTTCGGTTCCCCCAAATGCCTAAGTGCAGTTGCCAAGTGGCTGATGCCAGCTGTCTGCAGCCTGACTTGTCCCCTCCTGGGAGGCTCTTAGCTGGTGAAACAGTTCCCAGTTCCTTTAAATATAGCAACACCATGAGTACTGAGAGAGTATGAACTCGCAGCATTTTAGCAAGAGTAAAGCTTTGGTATCTATTTTACTTGCTTCCTAGAGACTAGCAGTGTTTGAGTTACATGGATTAATGTATCCCAGTATTCTCTCTTGCACTACCTAACCTGCTTGCTGGAGATAATTGTCTGCTCTTTAAGGGGTAGTGAGTGTGTCTGGTGCATGCACTTACAGCAGTTAATTTCATTACTTTTAACTTTCAAAAAGATATAAAAAGGAGCTGCAGTTGATTAAAGACACGGCTTTGGGAAAAATACCTGTGGAGTGCCTGATTATAGATAAACAGATACGGTGTCATAGCTTTATTGACAGTCCAGTTTTGTCAAAATGGTTTGTGCTAAGTACCCATAACCTCAGAGGGACAGGAAAAAGGCTTAGAAAGCTGGATAGGTCTCATGTGATTATATTATCATGGGTGTATTTATGTCCAAAATAGAGAGAGCACCAGAATAAATAGCACCAGTGTTTATTGCAGAACTTTGTGTTCTATTTGTTGTGCTAACACAGCAAGTAGTGTGGAACGGCAGTGACAGGGAAGTATTTATGTAATTAGGTGATTTCTGCAATATTATCCTTGTTCTTCTCCAGCTTCTGCACTTGCTGCATGAGAATCCCACCTCATGCTATACTATGTGTTTTCTTTCATTTATTTATTTATTTGCATTCTGCGATTAATTCTGGGACTGAAAGTTGTGTTGTAGTCACACTTAAGAATGACGTAGTTTGTCTTGACCAGATTTAACAAATGGTTTCTCTGTACCAGAGAAATCTCCCATACAGTACTTGAAAAATAGAAGCTTGCTTGTCTTCTTCCTGGAGAATCACCATTTTGGTTTCTCTGGTCTTCGACATTATGACTACACCTTGTCATAAGAAATGACAATATATGATGTTCCTGATGTAGCCCAAAGAAGTAAATGAGATCTCTTCACAGAGGTGAATTCGTTGGAGTAAATAGAAAAATCCTAGCCAAATTCCAGCCATCACATGTGTCATTTTCTTGTGGCCTCTCACAGGACCATCACAGTGCTATTTACCATTCTTTTTTTTTCTTTTTTTTTAACAGGAGTTTTGGCCCACATACCAGAGTTTATGTTAAGCTGGGGTAATAAACAGAGAGAACAGACTTTTCGCCTGGTCATTCAGGGTGCTTCTTTGCATGGTGTTTTATCCTTAAGATTTTCACTGCAGCTGAAGTTGCATGTAAGGGAATGTTAGGATGGAGTTGCTTTACTCGGGTGTAAATCTATGGTACGATGCCCATTGGCCCTGCAAGCCCCTAAACTCTGCTTCCCTGGGTTTCTTCTGTGCTCTCTGTGTCTTAGCCCTGGTGGGGATGCTACTGGCTTGGTGAGATCAGTAACTGCAGAGGTTACAAATGTGCTGCAGATTCTCTATATAAACATCTTGGTCTTGTTTTTGTACTAGTCCTGGTACTACTGCCAAATACTATTACTGTAATTGGCCAAAGGAAACAGGGGGCCCAGGCTTGTACCAGAAATAGCAGCTCTTGTTAATGTACAGTGGTTTGTGTTGTCCGTGTGTCTTGCTCCAGCGCTCTGGGAGGCAGCTGGTTGTATTGCTTTTCTTTTTTAACGTTTGTGTCAGAACTGGTTTTGGAAGAAGCAGAGTTCACTCATGGTCTATGCTCCAGGAAAGTGGTACTTAGTTAACTGGTAAGAGTTTGTATCAGAGGAGGGCATTTGTATGATTGCACTTGATGGGGAAAAGGGAGACACTGGGAGTTCAAATAAGTCATCCCTTTCTTTCAGTCACTTCTTTTCAGATGTGGTATGTGTCTTCATTAAATGTTGCATGAGTGCTGTGATGAGAGAAGCGAGTTCCTGGCATTAGAGGCAGAATGCAAACTATTTGGGATGGTAAGTGATCACATTTGGATGTGGGGTGCTGTGGCCAGCAGCTAAGTCTGCCCTATTCCAGCCCCATGGGAACAGCAAAGCTCAGGAAGTTCCTTCAACAAACAACAGCACATAAGCTATCCTTGCAACAGGGTTGGAAGGACTTGAGAATTATTAAAGTTCACAGTTTAAAAACTACTCCAGGCTCCATTCTGCCCCTGTGTAATACTCCATACAGTGCTACAATTGTGTACCCAGTGGGTCAGTCTGTCTCATCCCAGTCTGAGAGGATTCCCCCAAAATACTTCTTTCCTTGTGCTTGTGGCTGACAGGAAGAGCAGGCTGAGACTGTGTTTTAGATTTTGTTGTAAAGCTGCAGTTTGTGGTTAGTCTCAACTCCTCTTGAGTAGCTTGTTTCCAAAAAGAGCTGCTGCCTTTGTGTGCCCCAGTCAGGAGATTGTTTCCACCAAAACTGGAGTGTTGTGGACAGTGGTGGGAGGCAGAGGAAGGTCATTGCCAGCCCCCCAAAAGGAGAAGTGTGCCAAGCAAAACTCAAACCTCTCTAGGGAACTGGTAACTGAGCCTGTAAGGCTCAGTTGTGTGCTGTAAACATGCAGTGGAGCAGCAAACTGCTCTGGGATTTGGAGCTGCTTCCAGCTGTGCAGTGATAGGCAGCAAGAAGTGTCTCTTGTATTTGAAGATGACTCTCACCATGCACTGAAATGCACTTGAATTTGTTGGTCTGAAATAGTACTGGTGCAAGCAGCATTGCATCAGTGCCTTCACGTGACAAACGGCACGGAGCAATGGCTAATAGCTTTCACTTCCCTCAGAGGTTTGCCTTTGTCTTCAAAATAAAATATTAAGAAATTGAGAGATAGTGTTTTTCTTTCTCATTCCCCCACCCATACACCAAAGAGTGGAAGCAGTGCTCCTGAGGCAGGGGTATTGCTTTGGGCCTGTGTGCTTCTGCATGGTGACAGAGTTTAACCCTTTGGACCCCATTGAGCATATGGCCAAACAGCTGTTGCCTATTTATGTCCTACAGCAGCTGCCCTCAGCCCTCCCTTCCACAGCACCAGCTGGTGGGGAAGCCACAGAGAAAAGCCTCTGCACCCACACATTCCTGTTCCTCTGAACTGCCTGTGGGTTGCTGGCTGGCTGGGAGTCTTCTGCTGGAAGTTATTAAAAGAGCACCCAAGTCTGGTGTGCCTGAGAAATGCATTTCTGTGAGTGGTTGCTTTAAAAGCAAGGGGAAAATACAGACGCTTTATTTATTATAGCCAGCTTTTTTGTGAGTGAAAGGGCTTAGTTTGCAGGTGACCATTCACATTAGTGGAAAAGTTGGTTTTCACTCTGTTTCATATCCGTTTGTCAGATTCTCCATGTCTTAGATTTTTTTAGATTTTGATTTTAGATTTTTGATTTTTTAGACTTTGATTGACCTTTAATCCCTGGAACCCTGACAGGCACAGGAACTTTAATATTGTTTTTTTAAAGTTCATTTTAGCCCCCATCCATCCTAAACACTGCATTTTTTTTAACCAGATGAGAATTAAGTAGCTGAATCTAGTTGATGAGGGCTGTTCCAAATAGATCCTCGTATTCCCTAGCTCAGTGTTGAGGTTTTATGGCTTGGTTCCTGTGTCTGCAGGGAGTTTCTTTCCATGTTAAAGACTGAACAAATACTTTCCACTGCAGAGTCTTCTGACAAACTGGTGAGAGGAAGCCTGGTTTCACAAAATCACAGGAGAATGACCCACAGTGGCAGAGCTTTGATGTGGTGGTGCACTGGCACAAGGAAGCCATTGAACATTAAATTATGCCACTGCTGATTGGGATCAGTGAGCCGCCTCTTAATACTCTGGTTTGGTCATGGGACAAAACTCAGCAGTAGAGATCTGTGTTTCTTCACTGCCATTTTAAAATAACCTAAATGAAAGAGTTTGAGCTTACTTGATGTGCAGATCCCTTTGAGCCGGAAAAGCAGGGCTGCAGCTCAACTGAGCAGTGACTGGTGCTCTCAGCAGGGCCACAGTCCTGTGACTAACACAAGTTTGGGATATTTTTAGTGTTCTTCCTTGAGTTGTTTGCTTGGTCCTCTCTGCACTTGGTTAGTGCTGCGAAGGTCACTCAAAGATAATAGACAGTTGTAAAGAGTGCTGAGGGGGGCAGCTGGTCGAGATGGCACTCCACCAGCAGTGCTCTGCTTTTGAGATAGAGGGATCAAGAAGGGCTGAGAAGTACTGGCATGCTGCTTTCAAGATATCAAACCCAGCTTTCTTCACACCTCTTAGCTAGGGAATAGGAATGTGTCAGGAAACAAATCCAGGCATCAGAAAATCAGCGACCTGGTCAGTTTGTCTGAAAGGATTAGGGAATAATATACAGCCTGCAACCCAATAGTGAGGATCTCTTACCTTGCACACTTCCCATTCAGCAGGGAGTAGCAGTAGCCTCTCTGTGGAGGGATCTGCCATCACTGAATATATTGACAAAGGGAAATGGCAGGAGACTCGCTTTACTGCTGGACTCTCCTGTAATCAGGTTCTCCCAAGTGTTTGTTTTTCTGCTTCTTATCTTTCATCTTGCATTGTGAGTATTACAATTGCTGTTGGTGGAGGGTGAAATTAATCCATCCCAAGGAGTGCTGCTGTCCTTTCACAATGCTGCTGTTCAGGGAACTTAATTGTGTGGCAACATCTCATGAAGAAACCCTAAAACTCTCTGAGATGATCAGGACTGAAGGGAAAATATGCAGCTGAAGCCATCTCAGACTGTCTCTCAGGAAAAGGCTCTGGGAAAAGTGGGGAAGAAATGAATAAAATAAGTCACCAGAACAACACAGTGGTGTGTTAGCAACAGCTTTCTAGCTACCAGTGTAAAGCACAGCATAACTGGAAGGAAAGGACATTCTTGGGAGCAAATAAGAATACATATAATAAAATTACTTTTTCTGTGTGTATCAGATATTGAATGAAATACATTGGACTGCCTTAAATGCAAGAACCATAAGTGAATTGTTCCAATTTACCTTGAAAAGCAGATTTGTTTTTCTCTATATCCTCCACATGGAACTGCCTCATTCAAGGGACATTCAGCAGAAGCAGGCCTTGACTCCCAACTATTCCCTCTGCTTCTCCTCCTTGTTTGTTCTTCTCTCCATTTACCCAGGTTCTTTTGAGGGATGAGAGATGCTTTTCATTTTTTGGAAACTGTTGTGTCTGTGGTTTCCTGAGGAATGGTTGTGTGGGGTTTCTGAACAGCTGCTCAGGGCAGACCCGGGCTGATGACATCAGCCTTGGAACTCTTTCCATTACATTATTGGCATTCCCCCTGAGGCAGGACAGCTATCTGTCTAATGGAATGACACGTTTTTCAGTGCTGTCAGTCCTTAAATATCAAGTAAGTGAATTAATAGAGAGCAGGTGAATGTTTCTTCAGAAGAAAGTTTAATGTCATGTAGCTGTTTGATGCATTGCCTCTGGTGCAACTGTCTTGTCATAAAACTTGACATCATTTGTTCAGTTGTCTTTCAGAATTATTTGCTGATTTTCAGGTTTGTTAATTATAAGTGACGTTATACATAGTCTGATATGATCTAGAATTACAACTTTCAGATTGACTGCACAGAAAGAAAGCACTTTTCACTAGAAGACAGTGCAACCTTCATCAATGTACCCGTGTGTTGATTGACAAATATCTGAAGGAATGACTTATTAGGATTGCTCTGGCTCCAGTGTTCAGTACAAATAGGTCTTTTTGAGTAGCACGGCACTGCTGCAGAAGCCTTTCATCAAATTATTTGAATGGGCTTTCTGCTCTGTAGTCACTGCCTTAATCCAGTGATGCAGGTGTGAAACCATGCTGCAGACTGAGCTGCCATAGTGTTGTGAAGAGGCTGATGGTGCTAAGCTGCTGTTGCTTAGCACAGTTGTGCAGTTGTGGAGCATGAACTTGTAACCTTTATATGAGCACTGTCTCTCCCAGTGAAGCTTTTTATTCCAAAACCAAAAAAGGCAGCAATGAAAGCCCCACACCTTTCCCCCACAGTAACAAACAGTTTGTAGTAGTGGTCGATGTGAATCAGCTGGCCATAAAGTATATCCCCAAAATGCTGTCAGTTGAACAGGAAAAAGTGGGTTAGAGAATTAGATGTCCAGTAAATTGATCTCTAGACAGAAGCAGGGGCTGTTAGGAGCACATGCAGCGGAATAACTGCGGACTGCAGCTGAGGGTGAATGCAGATAAACTTCTGCTGTAGCTTGCTGCAGGTTAAATGTCTTATTCGGGCATAGATGCAGCAGTGTGAAATGCTGGCTTGTTCATGTGGTTGTCTGAGAGAGCTACCATGGAAAAGGCAGTTGTAGCAATTTCTTCCTGTCTGCTCATTAAGCCATAAACTTTGGAGAGGGCTCAAAAAATCCAAAAGGGATATCTTGATCATTGAGCTGCCCCTTTTGGGAAGATACCAGTGTGTTGAGCAGATAGCTTTTAATATATCATAGAGAACCTTTGTCCTGCTGCTTCTCCCCCAAGACTGCAAACATCAAATAAATGCATCAATATAAAATTGAGTCCTTTGCCTCCCATTGAGCCTTGTGTTCTTCAAGTACTGTGTGTGTCCTTCACCTTCAGCATGCTTTATCTGGACTGCCTGAGTGTGTTTATATGGTGATGCTCTATTGCATTCTGTTTTCCAGAAAATAACTATCAAATACTTTTCCCTATCTTTAAGTAGGTCAACCGTTAATCTAATTGATTAACTTTGTAGGCAGTCAATTAAATTGACTTACTCATATATGGGGGGGCGTATTTACCCACCGTATCAGTGTAAGTCACTATGTAGTTTTGTATGGAGGAGTTGTGAAAAGCTTTGCTGGACAGAACCTCAGGGGAAAACCCCTAAACCTAATAGGGAAGGCATTGCAAAAACCAGTTGGAACACCGAAGTGTCTTTTAAAAACTAGTTCGAAGATGGTTTTGGCCGAAATTTCAGACTGTCAGCTCACAGGTATCTTCATTGAATGGTGAAAGTTTGAGGGTATTACAAGGCAGTACTTAGCTGGAAACTAACCCATGAAATGCTGCTCTGTTTTGACAGAGGAGTCACTGAAAGATAGTATTTTAAAGATTAGCTCCTTTGGGGAGTTCAGCAGCCACTACACTTTCATACTCGAAGCCTGAAGTAGCTGTAACAGCTTGCTCGTGTTGTTGAGGAATGGACCATCATTCAAAAGCTGCCATGAATTATCCACGGAAAACAGCCCTTAGATAGGAGCCCCTTGGTGGTTGGTTAGTATAATTAATATAAGCATCTTGCTGCAGCTTTACATTTTGGTTTAGCAACTTCTCAATTTGAGAAGAGTCTTGGGATTGCTTAGATTTCAATTATCTCCCTGATGCTGGAGGTGGGGCTTTAACTTGATGTTAATTACATGTCTCAAGGGAAATGCAGACAGCAGGCAATGGTTAGGGTTGTGCAGACAACACAGCTTGCACCAAACATCTGAACCCAAAGCAAATGTACCATTTTAGGAGTTAAAAGTGCTGTGCTACTTGCTTTTTATTTTAGAAAGCCCCTTTTTTTTTAAGGTGGCCTTTGGGGAATGTAGTAAATATGGAGTGTTACCAGACTTACATTCAAGTCATGTTTTCCATGTTTTTTCAAATTTTTTTTGTGAAACTTACTAAATACTTGATTAAAAGAATTCCAGTACAGGATAATGTGAAGACATGAACTGAATGTGCTGTAAATGCTGATAAGCTAGAAGACAGCTCAATTTCTTTACTTGTGGTACCTTTTTATTATTGATGTTGGCTGTGCTGCTGTCATGGTAGACAGGTAAGCCTTTGCTGTAAAAGTGATGGGTTAAGCAAGGTTGGGCCATCAGCTCAGTGCTCTCTCTTTGGGCAGATGCAGCATGCAGGGATTGCCATGGAACAAATCCTTTGGGAAATGCCTTAGGCATTGCTGTCCAGAAGGAATTGTGTTGGCTTTGGGGAAAGATGAGCTAGAAGGTGGAAGGGAATTTGAGAACTGAGCAGACAGAGACCATTCCTCTAATAATCAGAGGCAGCAGCTTCAGGCAGACCCATGGTCACAGATGAGATTGTGAGGGTCTTGTGAACTCTGTAGCACTCCCAGTCTCACAAAGAGTCCAACATACCCCAGCGTTCTATTCAGTGATTGTGTGAATTGCTGCTATTTTCTTTTCTTGGGAAAGAAGTGATGCTGGACTGATGACCTCAAGGATACAAACACCCTTGGTACTGCTATGAGGGGAGGCACAGAGGGATGGCTGCATGGGGGCTACTCTTTCATAGTGTAGAGCTTGTCAGGGTGGAAAAAGGGAGGCAAGCAGTGCTTGGCATTGGGAGTTAATTCAAAGAATGCTTGGATTTTGTTTTTCCCTGTTGTCTGACAACACAGCCTCCTCCCAGTTTTCCCACACAATTTCACAAAAATGTTCTCAGCACTGGCTTCTGTTTCTGAATTCTGTTGCTAGTTTTTTGCATTAACATGGCCCGTGGTCCTTCATGCTGTATAGCTTCTCAGTATTCAAAACATGGGGCATTGGGATAAGGCTCAGCTCTCTTTATATGAAGAAATCTATCTATCACACAAAACATACACCCTTCTGAGAAACATCTTTGCTCTGTAAATGTCTTTGCTCCCACTACCTGTTAGAATATGGGTGGATATTGGTGTACTTTTATGGATAGAACAAGTCAGCTTAGTGTGCTGGGTTTATGGCTGTTCCTTTGAGAGTGGGAATTGAGTTAGTGTTACCATGATCAGGCTTTCATGCAAAGCTTCCATCTGCAAAACTCCTTCTCACTTGTTTTATCAGCTGCAACAGATCTTATTTAAACCCAAACAGTAGCCAGCTCTGACTGTTAGCTTAAGGGTTTAATATCACCTTCTCCATAAAGTAGAAGCAACAGGTTATTTAAAATATGTAGGTCAGATTGGTCTGGTGTTTTCCAGCGAGATTATGTAAACACATTATTATTGCTATCAAAACTCTCCAATGCAGGAGATGCAACTAGCGCAGGATGTTTTTTGTGTGTGTTCCTCTTTGCTTCTCAAAATTCTATTGCAAACTATACTCTAAGCAGATTTTTTTCTTTACTTCCAAACTTGATATTAACACCAGAGTATTTCTGCTGACTCTTTTGCAGTGGTATTCTTAATGTAAATGTTGCATTGCAGGTTTAGGCTTAGGTTCAAAATGAAAATGAAAATGTTTTCCTATGGGAGAAATCCCATCCTCCTTCTGCAAGAGTGCTGCAGAGTAAAACAAAAAGTAAGATGAATGCTAGGTAGCCAGCCCATCCCTGTTTTTTTGCTATCAAAGCTAATAGCTGCAGAAATTTGTTTAAAAGATTTTAAATTCTGCTAGAGTATTGCTTACAATTTAAAGTCCTGAGGTTTTTTTGTTTATTGGTGTAAGGACAGATAATTATGTAATATAACTTCTGCATTATGGGAAAATTAGACTTGTTAGATATACAAATAGATATTTATGAACATTTAGGGCTATTTGCCTAAATATTGTATTCTATAAATATTTAGGGCAGCCTTTTTCCTGAGACAGTAAAATCCATAGGTGCCTTTTGTAGGAAGTGAGGAAAAGGGCAATATTTACATGCAGAAAGGAGGCAGATGCTTATCTGCTGGAATCTCAGCACTGCAGAAATGGTACCATTTGCAATCTGTTTTAAACTCTGGTGTTCAAAGGGCAGCAATAAGATTCCCACACAGCACTGAAATTCAAGCAAATCTTTCTACAAATCTGTCCCTTTGCCTAGTTGTTGTTAATTGGTTTGGTAATTGTTGTGACAGCTTTCTGTGGAAGCAGCAAGCCACTGCATTCTGGAAACAGCTTGGTAAGTTCTTGTCATTTTAACTGGCTGGTTTTAATACTACCAGTCCACAAACAAAGAGTGGGGAAAATAGATTTTGGTGCTGCTCTGAGAAGGTGAAGACAGGCAACCGTGAATTTTACGTATCCAAGCAAATGACACGCTGCACAGGCAGGTTCAAAATTCGTAGCCCTCTTCAACAATAATTATGATTCACAGAAATAAAGACTTTCATGTGTGTGTGAGAGAGAGAGCAGTCATGGAAAACTGCAGCACCCATGGAGGAAGGAAACAGATGGCAGAAAGAGCTTCCAGATACTTGACAGGCTGCAACAGACTTAAATGCAGGCAGTGATAAAT